AGTGCTGGGGATCGCCCCCCAGACACCCCAGGGGGCTAGGAACAAGGCATTGCCCCCACAGATCCTCCAAATCCCTCCAGCCCCAAAGCCCAGCACTGACTGACTGCCAGAAACTTCCCCACTACCCCCCACAGCTCGGGGAGCTTCACCCCTTCCCCACACCCAGAGGTGAGCAGTTAGCCAGCTGATCCTGGCAGGATGCAGTGCCCACCCACCGCTGGCACCTCAGCACCCATGGGTGCACAGGAGAGCACCAGGATGAGCTGTGCACAGGTCAGAGCCTGCTCACCATGCAGCCACCCACCTTTCCCAGCTGGCACACTCTCCTGGCTGGTAGTGCCAGGGAATGGGCTCACACAACCCACCACCTACCCAAGAAGCCATCACCTGGATGTGATGCATCCATCCCAGCTTCTCCCAGATCTGGGTTTCCAGGCTGGAATGAGATGATCTCTAAGATCCCTTCCAACCCATCTCATTCTATCATTTTATGATCCCACCTGGAGTGTGGCTTCTGCAGGGACCCATGGCTGGCAGCAACCATGGAAATCCTGGCACAGCTTCAGCACAGGGTTCCCTTCAGCGGGGTGCAGTGGGCACCCACATCTGCAGGACAGGGTGCACGGAGCTGGGTCCATCCTCTCTGCTGCTCTCCTCTCCCTGCAACCCCTGGCACAGCACAGGAGGCAGCAGGGCCTGGGGCACGTGGGGCTCTGAGGATGCGCCAAGTCCTGTCTGGTCCCTGGCATGGCAGGAGGGCTGTCCCCACGGCCCAAGGCAAGGGAAAGGTGGGGACATGGCACACTTGGCTCTGCCCCAGGAGATATCTGGAGGACAGGGAGCTCCCAGGCTGCAGGGCTGCTTCTAAAATAGATAGATTAAAATAAATCACAGATGTATCTGGTCACAACCCCCTTTCTGGCACATGGACCTCTCCCTGTCACGGGGGACAGGTACTGCTCCAGTACTGCCCTGTCTGGGGGTGCAGCATCTCCCCTGTGCCCTGCTTTGATTCCCCCAGCCCTGACAGTGAGTTGTGCCCTTGGGAGAACCGCAGGCCACGAGAGCAGTGCTTGGGAGAGACATCAAGGCCAATTTGGTCCCCGGGGACTGATAGGTGCAGACAGCTCACCCTGCCCGGAGAGCCTGCACTGCTGGCAGCAGTGGGGCTGGGCACGGCAGCCCACGCCTGCCTGGAGGGGCTGGGATGGTGGGAGGGACTTTGGGAAAGAGCTGGTTGTAGATGCGGCGTGGTGAGAGCCAAGGCAGGAGAAAGGCAGCTGTGCTTGACAGCATCTGTGTCGTAGGGAAACTGAGGCAGCACAGGTGAGTGAGCAAGAGCTCTCACTAGTGCCACTGGCACTCAACCCATCCCTGCTGTGTCCAAACCAGGCTCTGTGCCCTGCACAGCTCCCAAACCATCCCCAGGGAGCAGAGGGCCAACCTGCTGCCATGGTGGGATGTGGGATCTGCTGCTTCCTCGGGCGCTGCATCCCTCAGCCGTGGGAAACCACGAGCACAAAGGGCTCGGCTCCAAAAAACCCCAGAGCTCCGGCCACAGCGGCTTCACCTCCCGGCACGGAGCCAGCGCCAAACCTGCCGCGGAAGTTGCTGCACCCTCCGGCTCCTCCTCCTCCTCGCAGTCAGGGATGAGCTGGGTCAGGGCAGGTGAGCTGCTCTGCTCAAGGGCCAGGGAGAACACACAGACCCTACACAGGTGCTTCCAGGACCTGTGTTTTGCTGTCCCCACATCGGGTGACCCATCCAGGGACTACGTCGGTATTTGTTGTCTTGGTGCTGCTCACAGGAGCTGGCACATGTTCCTTGTACAGGGATCCACAGGGATCATCCCTCACACAGAGATCATCTCTTGTACGAGGAGCATCCCTTGCACAGGGATCATCCCTCACACGGAGATCATCCCTCCTGCAATGAGCATCCCTTGCACATGGAATGTCCCTTGCATGGCTAATATCTCTTGCACTAGGAGTATCCTTTGCAGGGAGCTTTCCTTGCACAAGGATAACTCCATGCACAGGGAACTCGCCTGTGCTGCTCAACTCCCCAGACCTGCTCTGCCCCATGTCTCTGACGGCTCCACATCCCAGCCCTGGTGGGAGGAAGGTCCCTCTTGCACAAGCCAGGCCACCTGTGGCTGGAGCTGGGCTGCAAATGCTGGGCAGGATTTGTCCTGTCAAACACAGACCCCTCTCTGCCCCCATGTCACTGTGTCCACCTCACAGGGTTCCCTTCACTGCCCAGAGAGGGGATGGGCACCCCTGGGTGCTGCACTGCATTCAGCACCAGCTTCCAAGTAGGTCAGATGAGTCACCCATCAGCAATGCCCTCTGCTCCCAGTGCTGGGGACTCTGGGGACACAGCCATGCACAGAGGCAGGGACAGCCAGGGGTTGTGTTGTGGCAGAGAGGCCACCACAGCATCCCAACTCCCCCCAGTCCAGGAGGGCTGTGGCTCTGAGGGACTGGCCCCAAATCCAGCACCTGCACAACACTCCCCTCAGCTCCTTGCCCACACTGGGGTGAGGGTCCCATGGGGCACATCACTGCCAGGAGCTCTGAGACCCAGGTCCTGTGACAAGGGGCTTTGCAGCCCCCACAGCCCCGGTAGCCCCTGGCCATGGACCCAGTGCTTTGCTGGTGCTGCCGGCAGCTGAGCCCTCCCCTCGGCAGCTCCAGCCCCGTTCTTCACTGCCGGGCAGGGGGGAGGGTGGCAGGTGATGAAACCCGAGCACATTACCTGGATTTTCCTGCCAGGCCTGAAGGGCAGAACAAATGAGGGCAGATGTGAACCACCCCAGGAGACATTCCTGGTTCCAGGGCTGCTGCTGGCAGTGCCCAAAGTGCTGGTGCAGTGGTGTTACCTCCTCCTTTCCCTGTCCCACCAACTGCTTTTCCAGCAGCTACAGATCCCACTGGGATGGAAACACACAGGATAGAGCAGCTTCCTGCACAGCCCTTGCCTCTACCCCAGCACTTCTGGCACCCTCTGCTCTGCTCCTCTTCCCTGGTGCCATGGGGCTGACACAAGCCCCGAGGGGCAGCAGGACACATGGACACAACCTGCTGAGCCCTTCTGCAGCATAGCAAGGTGACAGAGAGGTGACACACTGATCCTCAGGCTGTTTATTGGCATCTCCCTCGGCTCAGCCCGGGCGCCGCGGCCCTGCCGGGCTGGTGTTGGCTCACCCATAGGCACTGCTGGGGCTTTGCTGTGCAGAGGTCCCCAAAACGGCCATGGACCCCCCTGGGCATCACCACCCTGTGCACAAAACCCCACTAAAAAAACCTCAAACCACCAGCAATGCCAAGGAGGAGCTATGAATGCCACATTGCCCCATTTGAGTCCTCACCAGAGCCCCTGGGGTGCAAAATCAGGGGGTCTCAGCACCACGTGCACCCCAGCAGGGCTCTCCTGGGGTTTAAGTCCTGGGTTCTTCTGGGGGGATGTGCTGGGCCAGGCACAAATAAGGGGAAGAATTAATTGTCCCCTGGGCTCCTAGCACAGGGGGTGCCCCCTTCTCCCAAAGGCTTTGGGGGTCCAGAGTCAAGGGGTCATGTCCAGAGGTTTTAAGATCAGCAGAGCTCCTCCTGCCCTCTGTAGCCAGGGGTCTCTGTGTCATCATTTGTCCCCAGGTCCTGGGGGAGCCACAAGTGGAAGGGCTGAGGTTTGGCATGGCAGGAGCCTGGCAGCACCCATGGGACCCCAGTGAGTCCAGCAGCAGCTCCAAAGCAGCCACAGTGGGTGCCAAGTGCAAAGTCCAGTGCACCCCAAGCCCTCCTGCCCCACCTCAGCCGAGGAGTCCATGATGCAGAAGCTTTGGCCAAAGAGGGGAGCTGGGTTTGCTCTCCAACACCAGGAATGGTGCTTGGTATCCTGCTCCAGTGCTCCTGAGACAGTGAACACCCACACAGAGCTGTGGCCACTGCCCCCGTGGCACCACTGCCCCCCTGGTGCTCTTCCTCCTCCTCCTCCTTGCTGCTCTTCTCTTTTATCTCAATTTCTTGAGGCTTTTCTTTTTTTTTCTTGGTTTTTTTTTTTCTTCTAATTGTTTTTCTCTCCTGTTTGTTTTTGCTTCTGCTTCAATATCAAACGAAAGAGGAAAACCCAGCGATGGGAGCTCTGGAGCCAGGGGCCAGGCTGCTGGGAGGGCGGTACAGGGTGCCAGGCTGGCTGCTGGGGGGGTTGCCAGGGGTCTGGGGGGTGG